AAAATATATAAATTTTTACATTTAGACTCAAGGATTGTAGGAAAACTAGTCTATATTAAAAACAATGGAAAAAAATTTATAGTAGCATAGAATTTTGGATTCAAATTCAAGCCAGCAAAAAATAAATTAGTTTTGAAAAAAAGAATGTTATGTCGAAAAAGAGAGATCAAATAAAAATACTGAATAAAATATGAATTTTAATTATTTTATTAAAATCGTTTAAAGTGCACAAGTTTTGAACGTATTTGACTATAATATGAACATATGTCAGATATAATATTTAAAAAATTAATGATTATTTGGAATAGAAGTAATTTTAGGGAATTGTGAGCAAATTTCGAAATTCTAGACTTTTATTACATTTTCCTCTGACTTCTCCTGATTTTCCAGGTCTGTGGTAACCCTGCAATTATATTTTTTAATGAAATTTAAAAAAAAACGATGTCTTAATTATTATAGAATGATCTAAGCAAACATTTTGAAAGCTACTCTCTGCAAGTTTATACAGGATCGTACCTGTTCGCCGTCTAGAAGAAAAGAGAGAGAAGGAGAAAGAGAGAGGGCATCTTCATTCACGACCTGACTCTCCCTCCTTTCCACTTCTCGACGGTATTCTTCTCTCAGTTATCATGTTTTCCCCGGTTATCTTCTCTCAAAACAAAAGTCTATTCTTACAGGGGCGGATTAGTTCAAAGATCGGTTTTGTCAACATCTTGTAGCCTTAATCAACTGATCCCTTTCATCTTTTTCTATTTCTGATCCTACAGATAAGATTCTAAACTAACTATATCCAATTTATCAACGTTAATCTAACACCGTACTACAAATCTAGATTTATTGAATTACAATTTACGAAACAGGTCGCTCATTCTTTCTTGTACAGGACGTGCGCGCGATCACCTTCGTTATTGATTGAAGTCATTCATCGTTTTAAGTTCCCACACTCTTTTAGAAGAGATATCAGGAAGTTACAGGGGATAATGACTGCGGGTAGACCGAGAAACTGGGAAATTACATTCGCATGATCGCATCATGCACCATCCTTCGCGAAGCCAATCTCCCGGTCGCTCCAACGGCTCTTCTGGCTCGCGACCGATTCTTCCCCCTTCTCCTCCATCTTCTCCTTCGCTGCCTCTTCCTCTTCCTCCTCCACCATCGGTATAACCACCACTACTACTACCGTCCTCGTCGTCCCCATCGACACCATGATGGGGTCCAGAGGAGTTGCAGAACTAGTCACAGCCTGCGTGTCAGTCCATCAGTAAACTCGGTCTTGTGCGTTACCGAGCCGAGAGGAGTACTATCGTTAACTTTACTTAAGCAGGTTCACATTTGGCAAGAGATTCTTGAGATTTACTTGAAGTCGAGTCGAATTGTATGCGAGTATACAACTTCCTGTCGAGTGTCACGACCGCGACACTCGAAACGGCCTGAGTCACGAGATTTCTCGGGAAATAAAAAGTGCGAATTACTTGAGACCGTGGGAACGCGATTTAAATATAGGAAACAGGGACAAGCTATGTCCCTCTTTCGCGAGTCGCGAAACTGAATGGTTCCAGTGGTGAACCCGAGTCATCTCGGTTGCGCGAGTGACGTTAGTGCCTTTAACATTGAAGATGGTGCGCGGTCTGTCGCAGTGGACCAAGACCCTGAGCTTCCCGGCGAGGGTGTCACCTCAGAGACCCGCCAAGGAGTCCAAGGTTTTCCACGTAAGCCCCAGTGCTAGCCCCACGTCACCGCCCAGCCCGATCAACGACACCATGGACAAAGCGCCTATAATTACCGATGAGGTTTGATACATTTCTTTTTATTTTTTATTTTTTTTTTTTTAATTTTGTTATCATATTTTTCCTTCTTTTTTGGCTTTTCATTAATCACGTAAAGTGTTATTAATAGGACAATAACAAAAATGCTTTCTTAGTCCGAAATACCTAACATATTTCTAGACAATTGCTTGATTATAATAAAAACGACACATTTATAATAATTTGTGTGAATATTGTTTGATAATCATAAATTTGTCTTCATTTCGTTGAATTTTCTATATTCTTTCTATTATGGTCATTTTCGTAATGTAATCTCCATAAATGTAATGTAAACTACGCACAGAAAAAAAAAGAGATCCGTTAGAGATTAAGTTGCGGTTAAATCAACGGAAACGTTGGTTTCCTATATATATATCAACGTCGTTTCCGGCGAAGACATCGGGAATGTATAAAGTTTACGGTGATCACGTCGAGACCGTTGACTCCAAGATTGCGTTGCAAGAATCCTGTGCAGGAGAACGGTTCTTCTTGATAGTCGCGTTTCGGTATTGTCGCCAGATGTTGCGCCAACGACGATGACGACGACGGGGATTTTTCTTCGCGCTCCTATATGATTCGTAGAATTTCGTGCATGAGCACCCGGTGCTATCTCACTGGAATAAAATATTAGCTGTAAGGCACGACCGGCGGGCAGCGGAAGCGTGGGAACCAAGCGTAACAGATGGCCTCGACCGCTTCCGAAGTCATTCGACCTCTCCTCCCGTTGTTTCTTCTCGCTCGATCCGATGAACGGCGATGACGCGAAGTATTCGGTTAAAAGAACCCGAGTGTATTTCATAATTGACTTACTTACCGCAATTTCCGGATCCCGGATTCGGAAAAGAATATATATATTAAATTGGAGTTAATCGATGTTAGCAAATACAGCACCTTTACAAAGTGAATGAGAAATTCTCTATGACTCTCAGAATTTTAAGAGCTTTAACTTCGAACTTTTGTCCGTGTAAAAAAACTAATAAATAATTAAAAGTATTAGTTTCAAAGCATCAATTTTTTTCTCTCATCTTCGTCGAAAAAAATTCTCTGAGCCTTCAGAGTTTGAACTTCATCTTTAAATTCTTGTTATAAAAAATTAATGAATGATTAAAAATGTTAATTTCGAGGCAAATATCTTTCCTCTGATCTTTGTCTAAAAAAATTTCTCTGAGGTCTCAGAATTTGAACTTCAAACTGTGGTTCGCGTTAAAAATTAATAATATTTTTCATAATTGATTTTTTCATCTAAGCCGTTTCTTTATATTGTTAATTTTAACGATATTAATTTCAATACCATAATCTTTTCTCTATTTTGTATTTAAAAAGTTGAAAAATAAAAAAATTGAGAAAAGATTATTTATCATCGATTCTTCAGTTAAAGACTGAGTCTAACATGCAAGTCAAATTCAAAGTTATATTTTCTATGACTATATAGATGAATATTAAATTTCAAATTATGTCTGCAGATCTTCACAGGAAAAAATCTTATTCGGAATTATTTCTAAGTTCTAAATACATTGTTCTTTCTCTTCTATTATGCTGAAATGTATGAGCAGTAAGATACAATCGTTGTATAACGCAGATTAGCGAATTTAATAAGACTTTAGAAAGTGGGAAGATGTATCTTTTTGCATTCTATGGAGAAGTTTCTTAGACCCCTGATATGCTTGATGGTGTACCAGTCTTCACTCTTCAGCTGCGAACGTGCGTTTCAAACCCAAGAGAGAGCGCGCACATCCGCAATCGTCGCAACCTTTTGTGGTTCCCTGTCATCCTCCGCTGCTCAGGAATGCGAGAATGTGAGATAACGCTGAACGGTTACGTTTAGTCCAACGAGCAGTATAATTACGGTGTGTTATATTAAAAGCTCTCGGCTATTCTTTGTCTCTCGTCCCCAAAAAACGCGACAAGCACGACGACGACGACGACGTCAATGACGACGGTGGCATTCTCCGGTTGGTCTACGCCGGAAGTGGCGCGGCTTCGCGTTCTCCTCCTCTTCCTCGCGCATTGTTCCTCGCCGCGCATTCCACGACGATGAACTCCATCGTTCGAGTGAACGAGAACGTTACGCTCCGTGGCAACTCGCTCCACGAGGGGAAACCATGAACCTCCATCCGTTTGCGAGCATCCTATATCGCACTCAGAACTTGCTAAAGCTAACGTAAACAATCACCAACTTTAGCGACGCAAATGGACACGTCTCTTGCCTTGATATTCTCCATTTACACCTTTTTCTGAAACAGTTCTGCATACAATTGTCCATAGATTCCGCATGCACGCGTGGAAAAAATATTGGAATAAAAAATTATTCTGATTTTTCTTCACGAATTGACCTACACTGAGAGGAATGTTTTTGGTATTTGTGATAACTTGTTATAATTACATAATATCACAATTATGATGGTTATTATTGCTATAATATTAGTATAAATAATAATTATATTTACAACAGCTTTATCATAAAATATATAGTTGGTATCGAAAGTGACTTAACTTACAATTAAATTATGGTAATTGTAACCATTTTTATAATATAGTATAGTCATTTATGTATAGTCATTTTCAGTCAACCGTATATATTTTTTTATAGAACTATAAATAAAATTGTTATTACTAACATTATAACAGTAATAACATTATAACAGTAATAACTGTAATTATGATCACAATATGTAATTATAATCACAAATACTAAAAATTACTTTTCTCTCACAATTAGTGTAGTTTATATAAATTGTATCGTTAAGAGCACGAGTTTGTCCTTCCTATATATATTGAAGGACGGATGTAGAGATTTTATACAGCATATACTTTATAAGAAATTTTCTCAGGACATTTGTATGTTCTCTGAAACATCTTCAGGATGTCCCTGGGAGATTTGCGTATGTATGGGATTGTATCTCTTTTAGAAGAAAAAAAAGAAGCCGAATAACAAAAATATAGAATATATAAAGAATACAGGATAATATAAGATTATGTGAGATACAGGAATTTGAAATATTTCTGAGAAGTATAAAAATTCAGAAAGTGTCATAAATTATGTAATTGTTTACATCACCTGTTTACATCACATTAAACTCTTTTTATATCAATATTTAATTCTATCTATGAACAACGTATACATTTTAAAGCTAATAAAAATAAGATTGAAAATATTAATTTATTAACAATTATAATCTGTAAAGTAACGATTTGTCGAGCAACAAAAATTAAATAAAATTCCTATGCATGTTCAGAACGGAAAGAAATTGAAAAGTTTTGCGTCATAATTAATGCGCTTTGAATAATTAAATGGACCCATTTTTTTATCACCTCGATACTATTCGATTTAAGATTCGACCGTTTTTGGAAACGAGAAGGCGAAGATCAAATGCACATCGTGTCGTATGTTAATTTTTGACCATTTACCAAGGTCGGATCCGAAAAGAGATGGACGGTTATTCGAATGAAGTGCGAGTTCGCAACAGTCGATTCGTGGGAATATCTTGATGTCTTCAAGGAGAATGTAAGGTATAATTTTTATACCATTTACGTCATCGAATCCATTTTGCAGTGGAGTCACATCAAAGACAGACGATAAACAGAATACCTGAGAATGTTGCCAATCAAAATAATACAAATAGCAATCGGATTTTTAATTTTTCAAAAATAGAATAATACAAATAAATGTCATTACGCAACTCTAAACATGAAACAATCATGAATATTACATGAAGATGCGCTTATTATTCTATAGATTCTATATACGGATCTTGATCTAAAATACGTTTGGTTCGTCAGACAAGAGACAAATCATGCTGCGTAAATTACGCTTACGATTGATCGTTTATGATGGCAATGACAGTGAATATTGAACATCGAACATATTCGACGCTGCAAGGCATGAAGAATAAGTAGAACATGCGAAGATCGATTGTCCGTTACTTTACCGTCATGCTTACCTGCTGCGGTGCCCAGTATTCTAATATCGGAAACCTAATACGATGCAAAAAGAGCTCCATCCAAGGAGGGAACAATGGACGAGTTAGTAGAGCAGAAACTTTAGAATTATATTTATTATTATTATTATTATTGTATTAATAACTTTATCTTCTTTTTTAATATGAAGTCTTCTTGGTTTCTTTAATATGATTTCATAGGCCGACATGAAGATCTTCACATTATATGATGTATTCGAAATGCTATGATTTATTCTTCGCTTCGTGTCGATTTACTTTGTAAGTATGACAAGTATCTCAAGTTCTCCGATTTCTTCATATATCATGTCTCCGATTCTTCTTTTTTCTAAAGGGTTCCAAGTACCAATTTCGAAGCGTTCGATATAAAATATTCGAGAGCGATCTTGAAAGGGAGAAGGTAGGTTTGTCCCTTTCATTTCTTTTCTGTTTATATCTCACCGCTAGGCTGGTTGCGTTAGGTTCCTCGACCTTGCCGGTCATGCAGGTTTCAACTTCCAAGCACCTTCGAGCGTGTTCGCACACATATTTATATACACCGGATGCATTTGTATACGAATGGTTGATCGGATCTTACAATTCCTTTTCCTGAAGTAACGTGCTATTCAAGAAAATAATTTTGACAAATAAGTCTAATAGAAAGATAAACAAAAGACAGAGAGAGAGAGAGAACTGTTAAAGTTTTTAGTAATGTACGTATATCAATGTTTTGTTAATTATTTTTCACAATTGTCTATCAATCTGACATAATCAAAATATTTATGGCAATTTTCTATGTATCTTTTTAAAACTGAAAAATAAATAATTAACGAACGATTTATATTGAATTATACTTGTTGTATGGCAAATTATAAATTTCCAAATTTTTACGTATTGTTCTAAACAAATTATGTTACAATCCATGCATACATACTTTATCTCAAAGATATTCGTGCGAATGTTCTTGGTACTTTGGGATATTTTCAGGATGTTCTTCAGAAAGTCCCTTGAACATCTGTGCTGTGTATATGGGAATCTTATGATATTAAAAATAAAATATATTTTTACATTGGTCTATTTGCGAAAATAAATTTGAAAACACGGATTATGTACATCAATGATGCAATCGCTTGAACAACACAACAATTAAAGTATTCCTGGCTTGCATCTCCCACGTGGTTCTCTGCACGAGACAATATCTCCCAGGGCGCTACACCCTGTGTTATCACTTTAATATTTCGAAAAGTAGCCCAGCCGGTGACATCCTGAAAAATAATTTTCCGGTTATCATAGGTCAAATAAACTGCAATTTACACAAATTGTACGAACGATTCAAAATAAAGAGCTTCCGGTTTGCAATTCAAGTGGAATCGTCCTTAAATCACTAATAAATAATTCACGTTAGTTTGTGGCAATGATTTACTCAAATTTATTTATAAACAATATTATGTATTATGTTATGTGTCTTTTATTGAATGGAAAAACTTCAAGTAATTAAATTATAAGTTAATTAAAATTACACTTTAACTTTTTTATAAGTTTTAACATATTTTAAGAATAAAAAGTAAAATATTATTCAAGTATTTTGAGGAAAAAGATCAAAAGATCCTGAGGTAATGGAATTTTGTTAAAAAGATTTTCTGAAAAGAATCTGCATGAATTTTTATCTATTAATAAAAATCCAGACGTTTAAATTTCGAGTTACGGTATATGAGCACCAACAGTTTTACGTTTTATGTTTCAGCAAACAGCAAACAGACGAAGGTAAATAACATTTTTGTCTCGGTCTTTTTCAGAACTTCCAAGACACGGAGGCAGAAAAGGCAATAATGGGCTCCATCGTATACTGCATACATCACAAGGACGGTTGCAAATGGTCGGACGAGCTGAGGAAGTTGAAGGTAAAGTCATCGTAAAAGAGTGCTTGGTATTACAGAATGAGAATTGTGTCTCGATGGACCAACTAAATTTAAATATTGCTCTTATCACAGGCGCACCTGAACACGTGTAAACACGATGCGATTCCTTGCGGTAATAAATGCGGGGCGATGATACCTCGCGTACTCATGGAGGATCATTTGAAGTATACCTGCGCTCAGCGTAGAGCCCGTTGCGACTTTTGTGCCAAAGAATTTACCGGACACACTTTAGAGGTATATTCATTCAAAATAATAATTATATAATGAAATTATGTCAATATATCATTATTTTGAATATTTAATTGAATATTATTTGCTTATATGTTTTGCTTATATGTTTTACCTCTTTTATTTGATATTTCATTCGCTTAAATACGCACAAGTCTCATTTCAGTTGTTTGTTTCTGTAATTTCAAATATTTGTAACTTCGATAAATTTAATTAATTTTATTAAATAAACCGAACTCTTTTTTTTTTTAATTTGTTACTTCTATTAGACATTTCTTCAAGAATTATTGATTCCAGAAGGTAATTGTAAAAACACAATGTTTGCAGAAACACACGGGGACATGTGGTTACGAGCCTCTTTATTGCGAAAACAAGTGTGGCATGAAGGTGCAAAGGCGACACCTCGGCCAACACAAGCTGGGAGAGTGTGCCAAGAGACTAGTCGCCTGTCGTTATTGTAACAAAGAATTCGTTTTCGATACGCTCGGCGCTCATCACGCGAAATGCGGTCGATTCCCGGTAGCATGTCCTCATCGTTGCGAAACCGCGGTGCTACCCCGAGAGGATCTCGAGGTTCACCTGAAGGATCATTGCACTACGCATCTGCTTTCCTGCACGTTCAAGGACGCCGGTTGCCGCTTTAAGGTATTATTTTTTCGCACGTCATAATTTATGTCCGCTTATGATAAAAAGATAAATAAATTAAAAAATATTTCTTAGAAGTTTATTTCTACGAAATACAATACTCGATGTTTAGAATGAGAAATTGATACGAAGAGATTCGAGTCTTCTTTTTGTCATCCTTTTAGATATCACATAAATATCATTAAATATAATTAAATATTTAATAAGAAATAAAAGAATATTTACTTCACATACTATTTTTTCTGTATATGACTTTAAATTTTTCTTCGGAAAAATTTGCGCTTTTCTCTTTTCCGAGAAAAAATAATAATAAGAATGAATAATAAAAAATAAAGAATGAATAATAAAAAAACAAATTAATTGATCGATTGATTCGATGAAGTAAATTCAAATTTTCCTAACTTTGGGAATTTAAAACCAAAAGTGAAATTTAACAGGATAAATGAGAGTACAGTGCAATTATCAGTACGAAAAACAATAAAGTAATAATTTTAGTCTTTTATTCTCAAATTTACGATTATCCAAATAAATTATATTTTTCGATTTACTTTGGAGTTCTTATCAACTCTTACAAATTAATTAAATTTACAATTTGTTGGTGCTTAATTTGACATGTAGAGAATGTACACACACTAATTTTGTAATTCAATGCTGAGGACTCCAAAGTGAATCGAAACGTACAATTTATTTGAATGACATTGTAAATTTTAGAATAAAAGAGTAAAAATATTACTTTATTATTTTGTATACAAATAACTGCACTGTACTCTCATTCGCCCTGTTGGGTTCTACCTTTAATTTTAGTATCAACAGTAACGACGTTATAATTGGAGTGACTTGGAAATTTAAAATATTTATAATTTATTAATTTGCTTAAAAGAGACTTATTCTCTCATTTAATATTTTAATTCTAGTCCAAAAAGTGTTACATCATGATTTTTCTGCAACAGGGAAACAGATTCTCGTTAGACAAACATCTGGAGGAATCCGCAAAAATGCATCTAAGTCTCATGTGCAGTTTGGTGACGAAACAACAACATCAAATTACTAGCTTGAAATCAGCGATTAGCAAGCTATCGTTAAATTACACGGGCACACTTATATGGAAAATTACGGATTATGCGGCCAAGATGTCGGAAGCAAAAGCGAAGGAAGGGATGGAGCTTGTCAGTCCACCTTTTTATACTAGTCAATATGGATACAAGTTACAGGTGCGTTACATATATATGTAAATATATCAATAGTCAATTTTCGATTCGATTTTCGTTTTGACGTCTACTCTCTTGTTGCTGCGTCTTAAAAGCGTAATAAAAATTGTATGATACTCTGCTTCAAGATGATCCTACACGATCAATAATACTGAACAGTAATACTGATAGTATGCATTAATATTTTTAGTATTTTTACAATCTTATACGATCAATATTATTAACAATATATTTCACTTTAGTTTTACGTACATTATTTATTATGACATACTGTGACATGAATTCTAATAAAGCGATACTGATGCACGAAAATAAAAATCCAGTTTTCCATCAGTATTCTACATCAATTCATTAATCACACATAATTAGTAATTTTGCCAGTATATTTGTTAATATTGATAGTATTATTTACCATGTAGGAGTCACCTTCAGAATTGTAATGTCATAGTTATAATTCTATATAATACATATATGTAATAATATGCACGAGTTCCTTGCGCAATTAATTGTATCATTCTTTCCTCCTTCTATATATAATATATTATAAAAGTAAATTACATCATCAAATTTATATCATTGCAATTAATGACACAAAGTTTTAAATGAAGTATTAAAAGAAAACTTATAAAAATTATTATACAAGATTCTCTCATATATTATATTAGGTGTTGGAATTAATTCGTAGCGTTTTACAAGTGATGGGAAGTACTTTCATTAATGTATTTTTTAATGCTCATGTGAAATAAATAACATTCTTTCATTAAAAAACGCTACGAATTAATTCCAACACCTAATATTTTTCAGAGTAATTAAAAGCATAAATAAATAAGCATATAGAATAGAATTTCGTTTCCTTAAGATTGAATATCTTGCGGATTTTCTGTGTCGGACATTTTAAAAATATATTTATGTTGTCTGGTTAGTTAGCATTAAAAGATTAAATGTTAAATTAATTCACTAAAAAGATTTTTCGATTTTATAGGCTTCCATCTTCTTAAACGGAAACGGAACCGGAGAGGGCAGTCATATATCGATATACATAAAAATCCTACCTGGCGAGTATGATGCGCTTCTGCGATGGCCGTTCTCGCACAGCGTGTCGTTCACGATGTTCGATCAGACAGTCATCGCGGAAAAGGCTTGCAACATCGTGGAAAGCTTCATACCAGACCCGACATGGAAGAACTTTCAACGGCCGAGTCGTGAACCAGACTCTCTTGGTTTCGGTTTCCCAAGATTCGTTTCTCATGAGATGGTGAAGAAACGACACTTCGTCAAAGACGATACCATGTTTATTCGGGTTAAAGTGGATCCTAGTAAAATCGTAGCGGTCTAAGAAAATGCATTAACAATTTTGAAGAAACGTTAATGTTTCTACAAACGGACATCATGTGATATTTCTGAGTACTCGCTTGACGGGACATATGGTACTTACGTCGTTTTAAATAATGCACAATAGTTTATTTTAAATCGACTAAAAACGCAAATTATATTGCTGCCTGTCTGCGTCATAATAGATTTCATTTATTCACTCGTGTTATACTTGCCGATAATTCTAATAATAATTAATTTATTAACACTGCCAAATGCGCAATGCGCCGAAATGCATTAATTTTTTTCAATTTCCTAATTATATATATATATATTTTATCTCTTGAAAAATTTTATTATTATCTAATCTTTTTTTTATGGTCAATTATAATCGAAGCACGCAAAAACTTAATATTAATTAATACTTATTATTATGCGATATTTTGCGAGTATTTTCGTTGTCTTTCTAATAATTTTTTACACAAAATTATATATTTAAAAAAAAATCTAACAAATGAGAGTAGGATGCCTCGATTTTTTTAAAGAGTGGCCTTACGATCGCGCAATTATTTTTAAGGAGAAAAAATCAAAGATTGTTAAGGGACTGTGTGTACTATAAGTTTAGCAAATGTAAATATAAATGCGGAATGCCATAGGATAAAGGACAATGAATAAGAACAATCGAGCAATCACCGATGTAAATATGCACTTATTATATATAGCGAGAAAATGTGATCGAGATATGCTAGTGAATGTATGTAACAGTATGAAAATAAGCTAGCTAATAAAAGCGTTATATAATATTCACATGTCAAATATATCGTGTATTTTATTTCCTATATCTATATTATATTATATACGGTTGAAATATTAGGTGATATCAAGAAATATATATAATATATACAATTGAGTATAAAAAATAAATTATTAAATATAACAATTTTTTGAGATATAAGTAAACATAAAAATTATAAAAATATTCTCTTCCTCTCTTTCTCTCTCTCTCTCTCTCTCTCTCTCTCTCTCTCTCTCTCTCTCTCTATTTATTATGTCACACAACAGCATTAATATAAATAATTAGATATTATTCTTACATACTTAAACTTCCACTTCCACTACTCTGCTGGGAATTTGCTTCATCTGAATTTGCCTATAAAGAAGCCATGCAAACAAGCTCATATATAAAATAACTTGCAAAATAATAAAAATTATAATAATAAGGATAGATGATAATAATAAAATTGACAGAATTCTTGCATTGTAAGAAAAATAGATATATCAATTTGAAAGTTTACAGCCATATATACTTACAGATTGTATCCGCAATATTTGATCTAATGCATGTGGCAGCAGTGGACGTATACCATTAATCTCCATTGCAGTGAGATGATCCAGTCTTGCATGCACCCCTTCGCTCTTCACAAAAGCATCCACGGATGTTCGTAATTTAGACATTCTTATGTCCCATATGTCCTAAAATATAAACAATTATATACATATAAATTCTACCTTTGTAAAAATATTTCTTGTATAAGAGCTAATTGATCTTACTCACCTTTACGGCAATTCTTATTCCATCTGCATCAGGAATATCATCATTTGCCACATTCAACAGAATTTGACTCTCGTCCATATAATGACTGCTCGGCATTTCTGTAAACAACCTGGTACATTGGAATTTTCATGAATAGGCGTTTCTATATGGAATAAGTCAAATTACTATAAAATTTAATTGAATGATTGCGTTCAACTGTTTGAAGTTATCTTTGTACTAATAGGATTGTATTTTTAGGTCTAGAGAAATTGTACTATTTTAAAGAAGAAAATTTCCAAAAGTTGCAAAACTAATAAAAAAATCTGGGAAAAAAAAATGTACTAAATTTTAATAAATAATGATTTGAGTAGCACTTATATAACATTTATTTACGGAAAATATATATTTGCTAAACAAAAAATAATAATCAAATCAAATTAATGATTCTTGTACCAAATAAATATATGTTTACACTTAGTAAATATACAATTGGCTATTCAAATATTAAAATTTAATTACATTTTTCTCTGTAACAGTTGCAAACATTTTGTTGAATGGAGTTTATATTAAAATGCTCAGAGATTGACACAAAACAAGATGTCAATGGACAAGATAGCAGCTGACAATGAGAAGAAACTCTGGGCTTACTTGGACATCTTCTCCATCTCTTTCCTCTCGTTCAGACCCTCGATGTCCATCCATTCTTGGCTGACGATACGGCACTTCTGCTTCTGCTTCAAGCACACGGCGAGCCAGATCGGCACCCTGACGGGCAAACCGGCACGAAATGGACCCACTGAACCCGAGATCAGGTAAATTATGTCGGAGTTGAAATTCGGTACAATACTGACCAGCTGTTTCTCGCCGAGGAATTCAACCTCGCTCGGATTCATGTTTCGTTTCAAGCATCAAATCGATCGTTTCTCGATATCCACGTGTCTAGAGCTATATCTCGGCGTTTCTCGACGCATTCCGAGCGATATTCGATCCGTCATCCGCTTGATCACTTGATTCCAACGTGCTCCTCGACACTGCTCCGGCTGACTCCGGCAATCCGGCTGCCGGAACAGTAAATCGAAAAAGGCGGGAACGTGCGTTGTTGTGGCCGCCGCCATATTTTCCCGCCACTGGTTGCGTTACGAACTATCAACCGCATCAGTAGGTTATGCACATTTATTTCTTATCACTTTTTCGCGATAAGATTTTATTATTTATGATGATAGGATAGAGTAAGGCTTTTTCATCTATTTATTGCAATAATATTTATATTTCTGAACTAAAATAAAAATCAGAGCGTAATCAAATGTAAGGAAAAACAAAAATGTGAACGAAACTTCTGGGAAATGTAAATTGAAAAAAAAAATAAATAAGTAGAAAAGGAAAACAGATAATGTCCATTTCTGCTCTAATAGATATAGATTAATTTATTTAATCTCGATTTAACTTATTTTATATTTTTTCTAATTTTAAGAATTATGATCAATTACAGAGATAAGAACTTTGATGTTGATTAGGCACAGATCAAATATTTCGATAAGAACAAAATGCTGCAAAGACGCAACAATACGATATCGCGTATGCGTCAAGATGACTGGAAAGAAATTGATTAAAGTATATCAAAATTAAAAGATTTTCCTAATATAATATTTTTAAGAATTTTGTAGATTTTAGATTTGTGAAGATTTCCGAAGGTCAATACCTTAAATTTAATAAATACTTATATCCAGATGTAATAAGCTGATATTATTTGTCATCATTTAGTGTCAAAAGAATATTAAAGATGTCATTTTTATGTCAAAATGACAACAAAAAATATTAGCTTGCTACTGAGAGTGCTTTCTTTAGATTTTATAAATCTTTTTTTTTGGAAATTTTAGAATGAAAAATCTTAAAAATATAAAGATTATGCGTTTCGCGGGTTTCCTCCGTGTCCAGATCCATTTTTGGAATGCCATTCCAAAAATGGATCTGAGTAATCCAAGAATGGATGAGCATTCCAAGAACTCCATGGATCTGGACACGGAAGAAACTCGTGAAACGCATAATCTTTATATAGAAAGCACCTATGGAAGTCTCAAGAATATTATCTTAAAAATAGAATCTTTTAGAATCATATTTGTAAAAAATTGTAAAAGAAAATATATAGACCAAAATTTCTTAAAAGTATCTCAATTCATATTAAAAAAAATTTTTTTAAGTCTTTTAAAAAGTTATAGAATTATACAAAAATTCTGAAAAATTATATAAAAAACTTTAAAAAAAATTTTCGCCAACTAGAAAAACTTGGGTGGCAATGAAGCATCGAATGCACACATGGATTACACGTACGAAGCTTTAATAACATCGATTTCGTTCGTTCGCAATGTCGCATTACACAATTTAAAATGCTTATCGCTAAAAATTCATGAGTAACATACATATACATATCCTTTTCAATCAATTTTATTTTCTTATTTAATAAAGTAATCGTCACAATATTTCCAAGATTTCAAAATCTTCCAAGATTTCAAAATCTCAATAAAAATTGTCTAAATTTGAAACTAGGATTCTTATATAATCCCAAATTCTAAATAAAAAATAACACAGATAATTTTCTGAGATTTAATATAGTCAACGCAAAAATAAATAGCTACGAAGGTCGAGAGAGAGAGAGAGAGAGAGAGAGAGAATGAGTCTTAAAATAATTAAATTTATCGATCCATTCACATAATATCCATCGCATGATGTTGATTAATTTAACATTTCTCGCAGTTTTAATTAACAATAAACGTGTTTGTATTTTGATAAAAAAGATGTGCATTTGGTAAGATATATTTGATAAAAATTTTTGGTTAAAAATGTTTTTACTAAAATATTTTCTGTTAAAGTTTGCCTCAGACCGGTGTTTTGTTAAACCAAAGTTCAATTAAAATTGGCTAATGATTAAAGTCTCGTTATCTATAAATTATTATCTTTAGAGAGCAGTTCACCAAACTTTATTAACTTTTAATAACGGGCACGGCTGATAATTATTTAATAGTATCGCGATCGATACTCTTGTCGATTAAAATATCATTTTAACGACTTTAGAAAATTATATTGATATACATGTATGGGCATATAATTTAGTAAATATCACGCATAAGAGTAAATGGGAGGAATGGCGCATGTTGATCGTCTAGTTATGCCAATTACAATATGCAGAATATTGCACAAGCATCGTGCAAACGTTCTACGGGAATACGTGGATACATAATCACAATATGCACTGTTCTATTGTACAACATTAAGTATATTTTCCCCTCTGCGTATATTTATCACTCTTGGCAATCCTGCATGAATCCCACACACGGCATTTTATCCTCGCCAACTATTCGAAAACACGTTCCTTTTTCCTTAAATGTCTTGGAATTTTCTCTTATCTACTTAGGTTTTATCCTACTTAGGTTTTATTTACAATATATAATAAAAAATGGAAGTCGCTGACGTATCACGCTCCGTTGTCACTTGTCTTTTTGTTCGAAGCTTCAAATAGAGTATTATTATCGCTCCATTTTAATGTTCAATTCATTGAAGTTTACACTAAAACACGTGTGATATCAACTATATGGCACACTCGATAAGTAATTAATTAATAAAATAAATCGGCACATCGAGGAATTTTGGAGAGAAAAAAAGTTCAAATGTCTTAGTTCCGTTTAAAGAATGTTCCAGTTCTTTTTTTTTTCGCAATTACTCTACTAACCACCCGCTACGTCGATTCTGTCCCGAGATTCTTCCACAACCAGGAGATGATCAGGAGAGGCATGATTCACTACGTCGGCTTCGATAACGAAGATCGAAGCAGGCGGCGTTTCCTCGATGCGGTCTTCCTCTGCAGGCAGAAGAGGTGCCAGTGACTTGTATGTTTGCAGTTCCATCGAGGAGGAAATTCCATGATCGGTCGCATCGTCGGCGCGGTCAACGATGTCGCCGTCGCTGGCTAATTCCTTCTCAATCATCCGTTTGTTCATCGGCGCAGAGTTGCTCATTAGAATCGCACTTCCGACTGTAATGCTGATGTCCGTAATGTTTTGGTGCGTTTCTTTCTGTTGGATTAACGAGACACGCCTTTCGGAGTATGTACTGTCCAGTCTTCTGTTGTTATCAATAACCTGTGACAACCAATTAAATGAAGATAGATAATAATAATAAGACGAAAATATAAGTCGAATCAAGTGAAGTAACATCAAATAGGTCAAATATCACCGCACCTGGCGTAACAAGCTCGGCCTCTGACTCCTCGGTTGATCAAAGCCGCTGAATCGCCTTTGAAGTTGCCTCTGCGAACCGACGAGGGAACCCCGATCGTGGATCACACTGATTACGCTGGACTTGACATCGCTATGCGGGAAAAGCAGCCTCCAGACGAAGTTCTTAAGGGCGATGCGAAAGTCCTTGAGGTGGTAGGCGTAAAGGAGCGGATTGCCGACCGAATTGATGTGCGAAAGGATGATGCAGAACTTCATGAAGAAGTCGTCCACCTCGCAGCGCGGGCAGAAGGCCATCACGCAGTTTATCGTGTACAGTGGAAACCAGCAAACAATGAAGAAGACGACGATGCGGGAAAGATTCTGCGTGGCCTTGACTTCCCGTTTACGCGCAGCGCCTAGACAACGTAGCATTGTTCCCGTCGTCTGATGATGATTACCGCTCAAACGGCCGCCGAGACGAAGGACGCCGAGACGGCGAACGGTACCTCCACCCCCCGAACTGGGATCCATCGTGACGATTTGCTGTAGCTATAACCGTCGTATCCGTTACTCTCTTTGGTTATTTTCAGCTACTTTTTGTACGCGATGCCCCCACAAAAATTTAATTTAATTTGACCAATTTGATATTACCTTGGCAAAAATAAAAATCAGAGCGTAAATTGAATGTAAGGGAAGAGTAACAGAAGCGAAACTCCTAGGGGGTGAAAATTGAAGCAAAACGTAAAAGAAGCATTTATATGCTTCTTTTACGATTCGTTATTTCCATTTTCGCCCCCTAGAAGCTTCGTTTACTCTCATTCTGTTACTCTTCCCTTATATCTGATTTACACTCCGATTTTTATTTTTGCCAGAGTAAAGATAGTTAATTGATTAATATTTTAAATATTAAAAAAAAACTTTTAATACTCAAAATACACAATTAATGAATATCTTTCAGTATTAGTTCTCTTAGGAATGTTAAAGAAATGATTCTTTGACTGTGAATTCTGAAAATAAATTTAGATTTGTGAAAAATAAGTAAAATACAACCCAACTTCTATAATATTAAAAAAAATCATTGTTAACATTTTCATACACTGTTAACTTCATAATAACAAATTATATTCAATTTAAATTATTTTTAATAAGATATTGCTTGTATTTAATATGTTCTTAATTTAATTGAAACTATGAAGTTAAAAATAAAAATAAACACTAAATTCAAGGCTAATTCGAGACAAGGCCGATAAAGGTGCCAAAGATTCCAATCCAAAGATTAATTTCCATAGTGTTTAATCTTCTTTATTGAACGTTTCGGCTCTCTTTGTAGTCATCATAAGTAATGATACATCTCTTAAATCGTAATCATTGCCTCCGTCAAAAGTGAGTCATTGGCCTACCCAGCAAACGAGAATGAAATGAACGAGGATTGAAATGAATTGAAATGGATTCAGAAATATTGATTCACGAATGTTAAAATGAATGTTTTTCAATCCTGAATGCATTTTTATTCATTTATAGGAATTACAGCAAATGGAGCATATCTTTATCCCTTTCAATCTAAAAATAATATTAGCTTTTTCTGTGCATAACACACACATTGTGAATACTGTTCAATTCAAAATTTTGAATAGGAAATGCAATTTTTTCAATTTAATTGAATCTAATTGAATCCAATTAAATCCAAAAAAAGTATTCGCTATTTATATATATAAAATACGGATAGAAAATTCGGATAGAAAAAAATTTCAATCCATTTTTAATCCATTTTTAATCTCGTTTGCTGGGTAGTTTCCACTGAGGGTTTATCCGGATCAAAATGTAAGAACCAACCAATTACAGTCAAGTATTCCCCTGTTACAGTCGAACGACAGGGGAATACTCGACTGTAGTTGGTTGGTTCTTATATTCTGATCCGGATTAAATCTTCGATGGAAACTAGGCCACTATCAGGTTCCCAACTACAGTAGAATCTGATTTGCAATATTATAAATTAATAACTAGTCAATATTAACAATGAAGTTAAATAAATTTAACTCAAGAGATATCAACAATCACATGTTTTGTATTAAAATAATACACTTTGACACATTTGGAAGTCAAACATAACAAAATGTTATTTAACTTAAAGAATTCATATAAATTTGATTTTTTTATTATTTCATATTGCATATAAGAATTTTTTTCAGATTTTTATACAATAATCCAAAACAATATAAAAATCTGCACTAAAGTTTGAAGATTTCAAATTGAGGACGAAGGATAAAAATTTCACATTGCCGATGGAGGATCAAATTTTTGTAAGGGCATCGCGCTATTGCCATCAGGGTTTCTCTTTCATGCGACTGACCTGTTTCACGATTACTCGATATATGTGAGCGTAGAAAGCCGCGATCAGCAGTGCGGGAAAGATGATCGTGGCGAAGTACAGGAACACAAGGTAGTCATAGTCCATGACGTTCGTGAAGATGCATCTGTGATCGTCCATCTCGCCGGAATTCACTCCAAAGCGATACCTATAAACCGATCATCTTTTCCATTAATATCATTCCCTTCGGTTTCCATTGATCGCTTCAATCGTCAATGGGTCGACGCGCCATGTCGTCGTCACGTCGCGTCGTCGATAATTAGATGCGTACGCTCAAATGATTCCGATAATAACTTATTCGCGCATATCTGTTCATTACGCATCGGTCATTCATCGCGATTAACATCGATTTCTTACGCTTTACTCGGTTTCCACATTGATGAGGTAATTTTTGTATATATCTATCAGCGGATACGGATATATGTACAGTTTCTTATCGATTCGCTTGGTACATTCCTGGAAAGAGGAACTCCGTTGGGAAATGCGTTATCAGATGTAATATGTAGGAACTGACATTTCAGAATACTTTGAAGACTATGTATCAGTCTAATCAGTTTTGTATTTATCGTTTATCTTGAACGATTGAAAAATTCAAAGGAAAAAAAACAAACACTATATGCTGATAAATTTTATATAATATTATATTTATTACTGGACTGGGTGATTCAAAAGATGGATCTTTTATCGCTGAATTAAAGTGAAAAATAATAAAAATATTTTCTATTCATTCTTAATTTCTTAAAATTTGCTTGGACAGTTTTTGAAAAATTTTGTAATACTTTTAGGATGTATCGATTAAATTTTTATAGACATTTACATAATTTATCACTTTTAGTGTCGCGTGCTCAATAAAAAGATTTAATTTGAGAGTTAAAGCCTTGCCTTTAAAAGAAGTTCTATTTTATCAAAAACTCCGTACTGATCTTAGAATTAACGTTATCATTTATGTATAGAGAATAAATATTTACAAAATAAAGGATATATCTAAATGTAACTTTTTCGAAGAAATATTCAATGTTTAATATTATCACTGCTTACAAAACAATGTCTAAATATTGCTCTCTTACTTCAAAAGACACATCAAAATCAAAGTGATTATCAAAATCACAACGCAAAAAGGATAATTTTTTAAAAATCGTGAAATAAAAACTACAAAAATGACATTTGATCACATTCAGAATATATATATTTTTTTATTATTTGATTGGGCAATAATTTTGTCAAGTTGAAAAATAGTTTTTTCGAGAAACTTAATTTTCTAAGTTGTGTCACTTTTGAAGTAAGGGAACGATTCGCCGAGGTATCTCTTTTGATTTTTCGAACCAGGATCTGTAAGAATTTAGAATCACCCACTTCTAGTCTCGAAACAAAATTACGACTGGTTGATTTTTTTCTTTTCAGATCGTTTTGAAACATGCCTTCTTTCAAACTGTAAATCAAATTTGCCTATCAGTTCAAAAACTTCTCGTTCGTGCACGATACAAAATCGGGATCGGAGGGGCGGGGAAGGGGGGGAGGGACACGTGGAGATTTTACGATTACTTTAAGAAGTACGTGATGCAATTTCACAATTGTTTTGCATATTCGCGCTAATTGGCGTATGCATTCACGCTTAATAAACGCGACACGACGTCATGCGACGCGGCTTAAGACAGCAACGCGGTACAACAATCGCGAATTACGCGAACAATGCTATCGTAATTATATCAGCTCGTATATCTGTGTCCTCACGTTCATACGGGCACGTGCCGGAAATTGGGACTAGAATATTGCGCACGACTACCGGACTCTTTTGTTGTTCCTTTCGTTAACGACATCAACGTTAATAACACACCTAAAGACCTCCGAGCTTTCTTTGACCGGCCCTTGACTAAACAAGTCCGTAATTGAGCAACTAAGTGCCACATGTGTCTAACTCGTAATTTATATTACTTAAATGGCCCAAAGAGCCATACTTGCCAAGTACACGCTTTCATTGCATCAATAAAATACTAGAAATTATATATCTGTATGACATCTGCAAATCTAGGTAATATCGAATTGAATGCACTTAATACGCATATTAAAGCCGTCGTAAATTATTGTAAAAATGTTTAATATAAAAATAAAAGTGGATTAAATCTTCAATACATTTTATTATACTGTTAGGAAAAATGTATATTTTATAATTCGAAATATTTACATTTCACTTTTACAAATAAAATCAATTCAAATAAAATCAATATAAATATGAAAAATTTTAAATTGAAATGTGAATTTTAAATTAAAAAGTGAAATAAAAATACTAAATTTTAATAAATATTTGTTTGAATAATTTTAAGTATTTGATAATGATGAAACATTAATTTGATTTAATTAACATTTATCAAGTGAATATTTATTCACTGTAAGTAAATGTTTAGATACATTTTAAAGAAATATGTATTAAAAATCAGTAAATTTTTTTTTAATGTACACAACGACTTTAATATGCATCAGTGCGCACAAGTGCATCCAACCGAATTCGTTGGACGCATTAATGCGCATTGGTATATTAAAGTCGTTGTATATATCCATTGAAAAAAAAATTTAAATATTCAATAATCGTCTATATATATATATAGAGAGACTTAATTTTCCATGTAAAAATAATACTATATTACACATTTTAATGTGTACGTACAGCTTTTCATGCGTGTATGTTATTTTTGCACGGAAAACTATAAATGTACACATACATATTTGCGGATTTGAGTGTGTAGAACTGATTGCACCAACGCTTGAAACTAATAATCTCGATTAAATAAATTTTTTCTCTTCATATATATGTACTTCAGACGCAACTACATTCTATACAACAATATAAATATGAAATCGCCAGAGCTGCGATTACTCAATTCAAATTATTGGCAATCTCAATTACACTCGAATACGGCTTGTTTAGCAAGAAAGCAGCAAAAAAAAAATGGTAAGAGATTAATTCGCCTAACTGCGTAATCGTTACGACGCGATCGAGTTTCCGTCGTTTCTCGCGGGAGTGGTGATCTCAGATCAATTTAGATCGACCGTTATTAATCTCGCGCTCGATATCACATATCAAATTAACGATGTCAGCGACAAAAAAACCGCGACAAGCAACGTCAACGACGAAGACGATGATGACGTTGATTGGTACGAAGGGTGGTGCCTCACCTATGGCAGTTTTAGTGCGTACAGTGCGCGAGTATCCCATGGGATACAGTATCGCCCAGTAACGATCGACGGACACCGCCACCAGGCAGAAGATGCTGATGGTGCAAAGAACCACAAGGACTGACACGGTGAAGAGACAAGCGTGAAGATTCTTCGGCAGGCCGATGCTCGCGAGAATCGCGAATGGGATCGCGAACAGTCCAACCAGCAGATCAGCTGTAGCCAGCGAAACGATGTAGTAGTTGGTGCGTCTTCGTAGCTTCCGCTCCTTACCGAAGACGATGATTACTAGGCCGTTGCCGAAGACGGCGCAAATCGCGACCAGGATCTCACAGACGGTGTATGGCAAGTTCAGTTCCGCGCCCATGGACGACGCGTTCGTCGGCCTGGTGTGGTCCAAGTAATCAAACGGTAGATCGGTCGCGTTCGATGGAAATCCCATCGCGATACCAATATGATCATCGAAGATACCAACGGTCTTATTGGCGCCGTCGGGGATGCGAGATGATTGTACGACGAATGATCCTCGTCATTCCTTCAAGATCAAGCATGGTATTATATTATGACACGAAATCGATCGGAACAATCGTGACGTCGCGATACAAACGACGGTCATTGCTTCTTCAAGGAAATCTGATATCTCTTAAATCTTATAGAGATTATTAATCGATCATGGCCGGGCGTGTTGACTCGTCACGTGTTCTAAAAGAGAGATAACTGTGAAAAAAGAGATAACCGTGAAAAGTTTCGTTTGATAAATGTCTACATCGTTATTTTTACATTCTATTCTTGTTCACGTCGGGCATTAAATTAGTTGGCTTGTCGGAAATCTCTCTCGCTTGTGAGATATTAAAGACCAATAATTGTCACCTATCGGTTCGCTCTCTGAGTTGTGTTCCTTAGCTATTATTATCGGATTTATTTACCGAAGAATATTTCGGTTTCCATCTCTACAGATCGGAACAGTCATGACATCGCGATACAAACGAAGAAGCAGTCATTGTTTTTTTTAAAGAAATTCAACATCTTTCTATAGCGATTATTAAAATCTCATAAATATTATCAATTAATATATCTTTGATCATCATCGAGAGTTTTCTCGGAACAAATTGAAATATTTCGTATTTCAATTTCGTGCGTCGAAACTTACGTGACGTCTCTGACCACATCTGATTCACATTTTTCTTTCCGAATCAATCTATCCTTTGTAATTTTCAAATTTTTTTTTATGATCTCAATTTCTGTTTCTACAGATCGCCACGACTCTTCAGAAATCTTTCACGTTTCAATTTTGATAACTTTTCATAAAACTTACATCACGTTTTAATTCGTTCTGGTTCGCACTTCATCTTTCCGTATCAGTCCATCTTTCCGATGCTTTTTAATCTTCTTTTTTTTACGATTATTCTTCCCGAATCGATTTTCCGGTTTGCGCACATACGACTCCGCTTCCGTTTGTCCGAAAGGACGAAGGAACGATCGATCGGCCGGTCGCTCACTCGTCGCGTGATACGTTAACGGCCGCCGCGTTTCCCGTCCATCACTCATGCGGAGTCCGAATTACGCGTAAGACAATTTCCGTGCGATATCATCTAATAAAGTCTGCGTGTCACGCGAGTTTCCCGTCGCCACGTAACAAGGCGAAGAAGATTACAACTTCGTCTCGCGCTTTGCGTTTGTGCTTCACATTCGCCCTATCCTTGCCGATATCCTTGCCATTATCCTTTACCGATTCATCAGTTCTTGATGGCCCGAAACGCGAACGAATGAAGAAACTCGACGTTCACTATCGATCGCTATTTAATATATCGAGAGAAAGAAATATTCATTCGTTTAATTTCAGTCGACATAGTTAATTAATATATTGCCGATTCCATCTCTCGTTACACGCGTCGTCGCGCGTCATTCTTCGCGTGTCGTGCGTCATCAAAAGGGCGGGAAAAGTCGCGTGGAGACGTCCAGGCCACTTCGACGATAGAAAGGAGCGATCGACGGTGGATCGACCGGCCCACGACGTCGCACCGGTAAATATTTGTTTCTTCGATTAATTGACCCGGGGAAGTGGGTGTGAAACGACGAGTGCGCGAAACAAAGGGGGGAGGGATTCCTTCCTCCACGGAGCGACGCACATCGGGACGCCGAAGCCGGAGCATGGAGTAAACGCGTCCGCCTTCTCAACCCCGTGGCGTATAACTGAGGTGCTCCTCGTTGACAGTAGGGCACACGACGGAGGTGGTGGTGGAATCTCCGGTCGGACCCGCTCTTCAGTCTTCGCACTCTTCCTTCCGCCTCCGGGAAGTCTTCTTCCTCTTTATCTCATGGCGTTCATCTTCTTTTTCTTCTTCTATCCGTAGAATTTCAGACTCAATTGAGTGTATCTTGGTATCGTACGAAAAACAACTTGAGGGGATATACATCCAGAGTTATGGCTTACTTAATTCCCAGATAAGGATTCGATACGGCCGCAAAACATATTTATAGAGATTGATAGGAACGAGAGATGTTTCGAAGAGTCAATAAATTCTACGAAATACAGATATGAAGACGATACGCATGAGATACGAAGGGTGTGTTTGACTCTCGCAACTTTCGCAAGCATCGTTTGTCTTTAATAACGTTTAATAAACAAGGGTGAAATAATTCCAAAAGCGTTGGGAAAAAGCGGGATATGTAGCCGAAGTCGACGAAATCTCCCAAAATAAAAGTGATGCAATACTAAGACCGCGGCACAACCGTCTCGGTCGAGCCATATATGTATGTCATTCGAAATTTCCTCGGAAAGTCGAAACCAAGCCCCGAAAGGGGCTTGATTTCTTCACGTTCGACTCAACCGCGGTACGGTTTATGGATGACACGACGAATCGTGACAGCCGATGGATGCGACGAACGCGCCTCGCATTTGCGCGCCGTGCAAGCGCGATGGGTCACACTGTACCACACAGTTGCTTTCACGTGCTCGACGTGTTTGACCTCGAGGGACCGCCTTCGCGCGGCTGTCAATATCGCAAGCTTCACGGACGAAAAATAGCATGAAATATTTCTAAAATTTTTCGTGAAGTATACATTTTTGAAATATAAAAAAAAAAATACATCCAAGAGAAATCAAAGTCGTTGAAATATTTTTGCGCTCACAATATATTTGTACAGTGCTCCTCAAATATTTTTGTAAAATATTTTAATACAAAATTTTTAATCGTTTCACAAATATCTACGAAATATTTCTGATATATTTTATTTTGAAAAATATTTTATTTTAAAAAATTATTCACATAAATATTTCATGTTGATATGGAGTATTCGTGTCACGTGTGTCTTGTCGCTTTTCCGCGCACTTCCCTTCTCGTACACCTTCACGTATAAGAGCCATACGTCGCTCGGTTGTTTTCCTAATTGTTTTTTCGTGTAAATGCAACCGAGCGTAAGGAGCACGTGACGGGCTCATTCACGACTGTCACGGCGATTCAATCCTAGTTCGAAGTCGCGATTATTCGTACGCCATTCACGAATTTCCTGCGAATATTATCGCGCGCGTCTCATACACATACACTCGGCACTAAATTAAACGGCTTGATCTCGAGTCTTAATATGGCAGTTACGTTTGGTACCGATGTAATACGAAATTCAGACAGTCACATCCGGTACTATAAACGTGAGGCGGCAACATGGCAGAGAAGAGTGGGGCGCAATCAGACATCCGTTCATTTATATAGTTATATCTTCGAGCGTTATGTAGCGAGAAAAACGCGGACCACCGCATCGATAATAGTCCCCTAATAGGGTACAATCAGCACAATGTAGTTTGCGAAACACTCTATAATCTAACGCGGACTATTATTCTCGCGTACAATCGCAAGTGCGGTTTATACAGAAGCACAACGACAACAATACAACGATAATAATGAAAATTAATGGAGAGGAAGTTTAAAAAAATGAGATTTGAAAAATAAAATTTTTATCTGATTGTGCTTTGTCTTCTTTATGGATAGGCGCGACGGGCGTCATCTTCAGATATTTGACTTGTATCTCTCAATGTGTTGTCGTAATACTTGTTGAAGTACGTAGTATTCTTTGATATATGTATATTAATTATTTAAAAAAAAAATAAAAATAATGCACTACATTTTTCATATTGAAAATGTATAGAGTCGCATTAGTTTGTTTTTGACACAATAGTTCTAGGCGATCGGTATAAAACAAGGCTTCATCTCGAAATATTTAACTTATTGTGTTTCTTATATCTGCTTGCATCAATGTAGATTAACTTTAATCTTGGTTTAACTTACTTTTTATTTTTTTATAGTTCTAAGAATTAAAAAAGGATAAAGAGTAAGTTAAGCCGAGATGAAAGTTAATGTACATTGGTTGAAATTGACATTAATTCATATTATTTGTCAGTATTAACAGTTAAGAAAGTAAAACTTTAAAAGAATACTATATTTTTTTTCATTTATTAAAAAAGTGTAGAGTCGCATTTAGTGCATAATACATTTTTGTTGCAATATTTTTGAACGATCGATGTAAAACAAGGCTTCATTTCGAGATGTTTGATTAATTATGGCATTCTTAATTTAAAAATAGGAAGTTTAATAATAACTCTCAAATTTTAAGAAAATTAAAAAAATGTTTGTTGTGGTGGTGTGCAAGGAAATCTTTATGTTTAATTTCTGGTATTTCGCTGAGGATAGCCCCAAATGTTTGGCCGAAACGTTTGAATTTTAACACAATTTGAATATATATTTTTGTGTCTAATTTTTTTTAATACATCTATGTAAGAATTTGTCATAATTTTTGTTTTATAATTGAATCTGCGCACCAATTACTGCGTCTTACTCTCATTTGCCTTGAAATTTTTAAAATATTCTTAATTTATTAGGTGTTGGAATTAATTCGTAGCGTTTTACAAGTGATGGGAAGTACTTTCATTAATGTATTTTTTAATGCTCATGTGAAATAAATAACATTCTTTCATTAAAAAACGCTACGAATTAATTCCAATACCTAATAATATTGCGTGATATTCTTCGATATACACATATTATTAAGAAAATAAAAATTAAAAATAATAGCTATATTTTTTTATTGTCAAAAATAATATACAATCGTATTAATTTTTATCATGCTGTTCTTGGGTAATCAACGATGGGTTTAACGAAAAAGAGACATCGCTGAATCGTTGTTATTACCATAAAAACAATTGCTGACAATCAAACAGGATTTATATTAGATCGAGTTAAGGCTATTCCTATATCAAAATTAAAGTTGTGACTAATACAATAAATAACCGTATAATTGATAGATATAATCGTAGATATGTGTCGTAACGAACAACATAACTTTTGACTCTGGACTTTTGCTCTGCATTTGTCTTCTAATGGTCAGATGGTCACAATTCAGATATTTGTTATCTGATATATAATATAATTGGATGTGGATAAGATGACAATGGAAATAGAATTACTGTCTAGGTTAAACCGTACATACGTTATATATTTGCACATTTTCACCCACAATATTTCTTCCTCTCTTTCGCGGATGCTGGGCTAACCAGTATACATGTGCGGACACGTGCATCTAGTTATAATATATTTGAAACATAATATCGCGTCTTCGTCGTAGTTGCAAAGAACGTCGTTCTTTGTAACCGCAAATGTCGGTTTGAATATTCTTCAGTTTTCGTTTCGTCATATTTTTCAATGAGTTTTTCATTGAATCACGTATAAAGAAATTTTCTGGCGATCTCGAATTTTCTTTATATTCTCTCATTTAATTTTTTAAATTTAAATTATAAAAATATAAAAATAATATTTATATCAATAATATTTGTATAATAGGGTTTTATTCTAATGGAGTTCAATTTTATGTCACAATGAATGTGAAATTTCAGAAATAAAGAATGAAAAAAAGAAAAGAAGAATTCTAATTTTCTTGTTCACGTATTTGTACATATTATATCTCTAACAAAAGGTTCTTTAAAATATAATAATAATTATTTATTATAGTAAAAGAATTCTCAACTCTTCAACCTCATTGTAGATCACGAAACGTTTAAAGTGAAAAACATTTTGCTTTTGCATTCTTCAAACTGTCCACGCGAAAGTAATAAGAAGAAATTAATAAAAATCATTGATAATTAATCTTTTGAAAAAGAAGCGCAGCGAAGGGAAGTAATGCAGCCACCAGCTGACAAAGCAGCGTATAGGACTGCGACTCTATGAAGCACTTCACGCCGATGGCTTTAACGAACGGTGAACAAGTCTATTTGTGGTAATTCCTACGTACTCATTGTCCGTAACTGGCGCATAACGGAGCGCTTGGCATTGCATAAAGGATCTCTAATTGCGCCGCGGAGCTAAATGACTTCTTTCTCGCGCGCGCGGACGAACAGCCTCTCGATGAGCGCGCCAGTGATCGCGATCTAAATCGAAAATGGGTCGTGTTCGTGTTACACCGACTATGTAAACACACCCTGGAACATACCGCCGAGTATCTAATGGTTTAATACGACTAATGCATTGCCGGAAGGTAAGCTTAAATTCAGTGCCGTGCCTCCGGATCGTCAGATCCATCAGCAAGTGCCGATGTGTGTATGCATGAAAAGTCAGATGAAAGAACATACATAAAACTATATTCAGTAAGAAAATGTAATAATTTTTTTTTTTATTAAAATAAGCTCGTTGGTGTATCTTCCTTTCAATGATTTTTAATAAACGTTTCTGTGCGACATTTTAATGTTGTCTTCTGATATAAGATTAACATTAAATAAAGTAGAAAAAATAAATAGAAAAATTATTCTATGATTAAATGTGTATTAGAGCAGTTCATGAAATATATTTGCTACGTAGTCATCGTATCAATTTAACCCTCCGGAACGGTGAACCTACTTAATTACAAATATTTTTGTCAAAAAATGTCAAATGACTTAATTTTATATTTATGTTACATTTGCAAATTTGGATTATTCTTATTAAAACATAATTAATATTCATTATGTTTTATACGAGTTATGTTGGTCTCTTGAAATTAATTAGTGCTTTTTAATTAGCATAAATTAACACTATTACTCGCGGCGTCTTTTTAACATAATTGGCATTGGTTCTGATACCCCAACATTATATCTCAATTTTCATTCCTCTCTTTGACGATTTACATTTAAATTTAATAAAATTTTATAATTCTTTAGATTTAAAGATAAATGCAAAAAATTTTGCAGTTATGGAAGAGAGTGCGCTGAATATATTGTGTACAGATATATGTATAACATTCATACATTTAGGGAATTTATAAGAAGTATGATTGTCATATCTGAATCACAAAGAAAAAGTACATGTATACAATTTTAAAAGAAAAATTATGATCCAGAGGCAGAAGAAGGGGGTACAACTTTTTTGTACATTATATATAAGTAATTTAATAAAATAAAATTTCTTATAGTAACATAATTAATTTTACAATTTTTATTAATAGAATTTTATAAGTATAAAGTTTTAATTAATGACCAGAAGTTTTATGACCTCAAAAAAAGTGTGTCTTAAAAGAATACTGATAATCCTACTTACGAGTAATGAAGGATTAAATGGATTTTATAGACCCAACGTCAGTAACTGTGTTACAAATTTTAATATCCATTCCGAAGGATTAAAGATATATAGAATATATTCTATTCTGTATAATATAAAATTTATATAATATAATATCAAGATATAAATTATATCTTTCTTATTCTATTTAAAAGTTTGTAAAAAGCAACGTATATTTAGATTATTACCTTGTAAATTAATATAATAAAATAATTTCCAATTACTCGTTAATTTTAATAAAACTATACATGGAGTATCGTTCCAATAACTCTATCATCAAAAAGAAAAAATGATCGAAATGTTATTTCTCGTTCGAGAACATTCCGATTGTTATTTGTCACGATGTCACAGCCGACCTTGACCTTCAAGATAACGTATATATGTTTTCGGAGGTTCTATATGATTATATACCATTTTACTTAATATCCTTATCCCCAAACATTAACACGCGTACAAGCACGATCGATGATTCCCCGACGACCTCAACACGAACGACTGACTTAAATATCGCCTGATATTATATCACTTCATCATATCGCATCGATTTAAAATGAAGGACAGATTGATGATGAAAAAAAAAACGAACTCCAAGCAATTCACGCTAAGCAAGCGTATCCTGAATTTGTGGGCGCGCCGAATTTATGTGCGGTTCGTATAATAAAAATGTGCCTTGAGGCTTAACGAAGCGAGGAAGGAGCGTAATGCGAGCTTTACTTATCGTAGAAATAATAAAGACCAGCCGGTTTTCCTCATCTCAGTAACAACGAGAAAAAGCCGTGATGGGATCATGAAAATAGGTAGAAAGAGACGCACGATTTTTAATGGGATCCAATTAAAAGCTCGCCCGTGTTCACGATGTGCACGCGACGTCACGTGCGGTGTTCACAACTCCGATGGTGTTTTACTTTTTTATTAAAAGCCGTGGACATATGACGTAAAACGCGTAAAACTTTACAAATTAATACATCACACGCGCACATCACCTCTGCCTTCCTGTCGTCCCATTAAAATAAAAGATAATTACGCTTCTCCGTGTGGAAGACAAATATTTACAAATGACAATAATCACGATCGCATTTGACATATCGTTACACGCGAGCAAAACTAATTAAGAGAACGACTGATGGATATACGTATATTCATTTAATATAGAAATTAGAAGACTGTAACTCTTAATAGTATTGTAATTGTAGTGTTATACAGGTGTCATTGCGCAGGTTTTATAAAAATAGTAAAAAAAAATTGCGCAACGACATTGTAATTATAGTGGTGAAGAAATACAGAATATGCAAAGATCGCTCTTCTGTTTTGTTATGATACGGCGAGACGTAAAA